TTTCCTTTTCAACTTCCGGATTCTGTTTCTCTTTAGCCGAACGTTCCGTTTTATCTTTATGATGCTGAGCAACCTGAGCATAACTTAATCGAGGAGTTAAATCCTGTAATGTGAAAAAAAAAAAAAAAAAAAAAAAAATTATGTAAAAATAAATAATGAGAGAATCGACATGGAAAAGTTAACGAAAAAATTTCGTAATAGATGGAAGCCTTCAGAACGAGAGAGAGAGAGAGAGAGAGGTGATTGACGCCAGTGACAGACTAGTCTGAATTGAGTTATGGTCAATATGAGAGACCACCTTACGGATTGCACTTAAATATCTGGCCACGAGGGGTTCCAACGAATTACAGAACTTTGTCTCAATCAATCACAAGAATGATGTCCCCGACTAATTCTGAATTCGGACTGTTTCTGGTTCCCTCGCACGCTATTATCACGTCATCCTGCTAGAATGTTATATGACGGCCCTTTCTCAGACCTTCCCGAGGTCGTTATTCAAGTGACAAGCACTTCGTATGTAAACCCCTAAGTAAGATTATCACTGGCGAATCGGAATCTCGTCATTTCATCATTAGGCAACACATAATTGACCATCCTAATTAAAAAAAAAAAAAAAAAATTTTCAACTCACCATTTGAGAACCATTACTGCTGTTGGTGGTATTATTGACCGAAGCATCAGTCTCGATTGCAATAGAGCTTGTCATGGTGGCGGCGTTCGTAGTAGACGGCTTGATTGAAACCACGGATTGATTGGTTTCGGCCTTTTCGGACTCGCCGTTTAATAAAATGTCGTCAGTCTTTGTCGATTTATCAGCCGTCATGCATTTTGCTGCAGGAACTACACATCTGTAATAATTTTGTTGTTAAATCATAGAAGCAGAAATTTCACAAAGACAACTACTTTTCCTCTTCATATTTCATATATACTCACTTGATTGGCGACGGCGGCGGAGTGAGAATATTTGAATTAGTGGCAACCGAAGCGTCACAGCTACTAATGGCGACTTCTTTTCCATCGCTTTTGGAAACGGGAATATCTAACTGTGAAATCGTTTGTTGAGATTGACTCACCGTTGTAATTGTTGGCTGTTCCGCTCGGGATGATGATGATGATGATGATGATTGACTAGATGCATGCGCAATTCGGGATGGCTTTTCTTGCACTTGTTGCTGTTAAAGAACGCATACAACATTAATAACAAAATTCGCATTAGATTCCATTTTGTTTTTTTTCGGTATATACATACATCCGTAGCACTAGTACCACTTGAAGCGGACTTTACTGCTAGATTAGAAGTTTGTGGAAGCTGAACGGGAGACAAAGGTCTTGGAGAATCATCTTTCTCTTTATTAATATTATTATTATTATTATTATTAGGTTTAGATTTTGCCGTTCCTTTAACAACGTCAGCCAACCTGCTTGGTAAATTAATTCGATTAAAGTTAATTGCCATCATACAATGAATTACTTTTGGAAATAAAAATTTCAAATTAAAATTTTCTTCACACACACACACACACGCACACGCACCTATTTTCTCCCCAATGTGACTGAGAATTATTTTCAGCGGGAGTTACGACTTCCACTGGCACGCTTTTAGCAACTGTACTAGTACCCGCTTCGATGCCGGGCAGGGGAGGAAAGGCATTAGCTTCTAAGTCGAATTGCCCTTGATTGGCCGGCGGTTGCGAATTGTTAGAGAATAAATTTTGCTTATTCGAGCCAGCTATCGAGGAGGCCAGGCGAGGATTGTTTTGCTGCTGTGATTGTAATGAAATAATAGCTTCATCTTCCTTTCGTCGTCTTCTATGTCTGTCGCTACTGAAACTGAAAAATTTATTATTTCGATTATTGTATTGGAAAACAAATAAAGGGAAAAATTGTTGCCGACGGCCTTGATTGATTAAAACCTTAATCAGTTAATCTCAAATAAAAAACCGTTCGACTGTTTTTATTTTGCACACCTCCGACACTGAATAATCTTATTAATAGATGATTCAGTTTTAAAAGCGTGCAGAAAATTATTATTATTATTATATATAAAAATTAATTTTATGAAAAAAGGTTCCGCGTATATTAAAACCGGAAACTTACTCACCTAGAAGAATTTGCATCTGACTTGTCTTTATTTTGCCTATAAATATTATCTTGGATTTCGGAGAGACGTGACGTCATGACCGATTCTATTGATTCGTTTATTGTGTGAGGGTGGACGTGGGAGACGCTAAACGGTTGCGAATGTGGTTGACTTTTGGAATGGCTGTGCTCAACCACCGAAGTCTGAACCTTCAAAATAATTTAAAATTTTTTTTTTAATGGGAAATTAAATGGAAAACCAAATCGATTAAAAAATAAAATTTCAAAAAAAAATTTCGATTATAAACCTTTGTATTATTTAAACTGCTCGCTGAGCAATCGGGAACACTTGCAGTCATTGCAACTGCCATAGGGCCCATTCCCATAGTCGTCATGTGATGTCTAGACAATCCGCTATTACTAGCTTCGGGCAACGAAGATCGATCATTTCCTAAAGGTCTCCTATTGCCCCTGAAAGATAAGATTAATTTATTTATTTATTTATTATTATTATTATTATTATTTTTATTTTGAACTTCAAAATTAAATAAACATCATATAAAGAAAAATTTCAATGTCTACCTTGTTCTTGGCACATATCTTGCGTTGGTAGGTTTTGTGAAAGATTGTTGTGGGGCCAGCCCATTCACAGAAAAAACACTTCCAATGTCATAATAACAGCTATTAGCAGTCGCCCAAGGCAGCATAGCAGGAGGGTAAAAAGGCTGATTGGGTTGCTGAAAAGTCTTAAACAAACAAACAAACAAAAAAAAAAAAAAAATGAAAATCGTGCATCACGTGTACGACCTCAAACAAGTAATAATAATAATAATACAACTTACATATACATGAACCTGGTTGCCGTAATTAACAGGAGGTGGTATTGAACTACCATTGGTGTACAGAAACCTTTGTTGCGCTCCGGGATTAGAAGGTGGAGCTGGAAAGGGTCCCGCATTAGGATCAAAAGCCCCTGGAGGAGTTCGGTAACCGTTTTTCATTGAACCTAAACCTCCTCCCCGAACGGGGGGTAATGGCAGCCTATTCATTGGCTTGGCCTTTATTCTAGCCATTATAGGCTTACCCTATAACAAAAAACAATTACAATGATAAGAATTTTTTTTTTTTTTAAGCGATAGCATAAAATTGTAAAAATCACGAAAAATAAATCAAATCAAAATATAATGCTTTTTTCTTCAGGTCTGCAACCTACGAAAAAAAAAAAAAAAAAAAAACTTAATGACTTGTTTAGCGCCAAGAGAAAGAAGCTATAAAATCTTCATCATAAAAAAAAAAAAAAAAAAAAAAAAAAATCCAAAAATTATAACCTCAAATTATAATTAATACTATTTAGAGACGTGAAAATGAACAACATCGATCATGTTCTAACGTGATATTAACACGAATTTTCCTTTTCTTTTGTATTTATAAAACGTACCTGAAATACTTTAACTTCTTCCCTGAGAAAACTGTAGGCCTTCTGAGCATCCTCATCAGATTCAAAAGTCACATACCACGAATTGTTGTGCGCAAATTCACAAGAAATCAACCTAGGACATCCTTCTCCTGAAAAAAGATTCTGAAAAGACACACAAAAAAGAGAAATAAAAACTTTTTTTTTTTGGACTTAATTCTTCAACAAATTTTTAACCGTTAACAGAATTTAATAATAATAATAATAATAATCCGGAGTCATTTTTTTTAAAGCAATTGTTGTGGCGTGTACCTGACGTGAATTTTGGTCACGTTAGCAAACGCTACCAAAACATTTTTATTCACATTAAAAGGAAAATTAATTTTTGTCTCGTCTGACGCCTGGAAGTTAACAATAATAAACTTCAAGGTAACACAGAGACAACACGAATTTTCCAAGACGATTATTAATTTTTTCTTTTTTTTTTTTTTTTTAAAACTAAAAAAACTCACTTTTATCTCTTCCAGCGGCGTGCTATCTGGAATTTCTCTAAGAATTACTATGCACCGTTTGTGGTTTGGTCTGACTTTTTGTCCCTCTTCGTCCACTTGTACATTGGGTGATTCTTAAAAACAAAAATTAATTGAATGTTTTAGAAGACGTGAGGAAAAGCATGGAAAATTTAAATCCAGTCCATTACGTAACAAGGTAACTTAACGCTTACCTCTTAATACTTCGGTGATAAGTTTAATATCCGTGGTCAATTTTTTGACCTGGTTGAAATTCGCTACTGTCCAGATAGGTACATACTGATCATTATCCATTTGACTGATGAGATACGCATCATTGGCTAAATTTTCTCTGCGTTTTAAAAATTAAATGAAAACAATCAATATGTAAAAAAAGACATCAACATGTGAAAATCAACTTTAAAAAAAGGTAACGAACCGAGAAAAATAATACTCCAACTGCGACGATAACATTTGTTTCAACTGTTCCAGAGGAATTCCATTCGAGTCTTGATTTCCGACAGCTGGAGGACTTAATATCGTAGGACCGACGGGACCGGCTCCAGCGCTCTCTCTTCCTTCATATTGGTCAACGTCGGCTACTCCGTTCAGTGCACTGTAAATTATGTCAACAATTTCATTTTGCACCCCATTGTCGCCAGTGTTTATACACACACAAAGGGAACACTTTAAATTAGAATAAATTATAAAGACCCCGAGAACGACAAAAACCGTAAAATAAATTTAAAATACACGTGAAATGATTAAAAAGCTCATCATCATCATCATCATCATCAACCAATCATTAAATCAACCCATTTTCTTTTTTTTTTTTCTTTTAAAACCTTTCGTTTATTAAAAAAAAAAAAAAAAAAAAAAAATCTGCAGACTAAAAAAAATAAAATAAAATAATTAAAAAGAATAACATCATCGATGCAAAGTTAAAACGTGCCAAAATCCGTTAAAATATGATATTTAGCTTCTAAATTTGAACCCAT